CGCTTCTCATAAGCAGCTGCTTTAGTCACAGGTCCATGTGTCAGGATTAATTCCTATCTCCATCTTTCACAAGCTTCAAGATGAATCTGGGTGCCAGTCATAGGCATCTCTGATAATAGCAAAGAAGTCAAAAGTGATAAATAAAAATACAATCCTGTGTTCTTCTTGAATATCAAGCATTTTCTTCTATTCTGTCTTCAATATTTTTGTTATCAATAGGAGATTAAAATTTTGCAATTCTCTCTTGTACTTCCATTATTTATACAAATTCCTTAATTAGATTTTATCTCATTTCCTATAGGAATTTAGAAAATAATGAGTTATAACTTCATTAGAGGGGGATAATTCTTAGAAGGAAGGAAAAACAATCAACTGTCAATTCAGATGGTATTTTAATACAAGATGACTTACTATTAATTATCCTATACAATTCATCTTAGTGGCTTAAATTCATAATTGAGTCTTCTTTAACAACTGACAAGGGAATGTATACAAACTCAGTTTGGCCTGAATTAATTAGTTTCCATTAAATTGTTCATTGGAGAGACCATGACAATCAAATCAAACAGCACAATCCTTCGAATTCAATGCCTTTTTTTTCCTCATTTTTAACAGAAACAAATAATCACTTAGTCCACATTTTAAAACCTTCACTCACTGATTCAAAGTGAGTAAACTAGAAGCTGGACACACTTTCAAATCTATTAAGTTTTCAAGCTATGCTTAGAAAAATGTTTGACTTCTTAACAAAAAAACTGTCTCATCACACAATGCAAAATGAAAGTTATGCAACTCTGTGCCTTTAACAACTATAGAAAAGAGAGATTCTGAATCAGTGAAAACTAGATGAATATTCTACATAGTTACAAAACTACAAAAATTCCAAGTCTATAGATTTTTTTTAAATTACAAATAAAATAAAACAAATCCTCATTTATGACCCACATGGAATTTACAGAGGAAACAGGACCTATGGTGCTTTAGAAAAATAAGCCAGACATTGCTCGTGGGCAAGCAATGTGAGAAAAAGTTTGAAACAGAATCCATTCTATGTTTCCACAGAGAGACAAATGGGTATTTTCGTTCATTCAGCTCCCCTTACATGAGTTCGATTCCCCTTTCTGCTTTAGCTATTAAAACCCCTTTGAAGCTCACTGGGCTACCGTGAGGCTGTTTTCTTATCCAAAACCATCTTCTCTGAAATATTTCAGCCTTTCTCACACAATTTAGCATCTGGTTATAGGCTGTTCTCCCATCTCGTGGTTCTACATGGTACCAGCTTAGTCTATGCAGCCAGACTGTGTGTGCTAAAAAGCCTGTGGTCATGCATACCTTCCTGATGCCCTCCTCAGGGCTCCAGCCACGCTCAGCTTTGGTAGGATGCAGAGTGATTATGAGGTCCACATGTCCTTAATGCAGTGACTCACTTACTAACTTAACCATACAACCTGGGCCAAGTCACCAACTTTTTCTTAACCAGAGTTTCACTGACTGCACCATGGGACAGCACTATGGACATCCTGGAGTTGTGGGAAGACTGGATGAAATCATTCACAAATACTTTTAGAGTACCTGGTACCAAAAGAGCCCCTAGGCAGTGATAGCTATTGCTACCTTGGGCTCCACATAGAGTCTTTGACTGCTTATGGATAATTATGAATTTTCTACCATGTCCAGAGGCAAAATATAGTTTTGAATCTGAACTTAGGGATTCCCATATTTAATATCTGCAGTTTTATCCAGATGTTTTTCCTCATCTGGAGAATGTACTATATTTCATCCATTTTTCTATTCATATATTTTACAATACAAAGTTCTAAATGAAAGAAGTTTTGTTATCTTAGGTCCATCAAATTAGAACATTGCTTTTATTGATTCTTTTTAAGGAAGATATATATTGAAGTTAAATTTTTTCCTTGAAAAGTTTTTATTATATATTCTAAAACACCCTGGAAAATAGCTTAATCATCAAGACACATAAGTATTTGTAGTAATAAGTGAAGAAGGAGATCTCATAAAAAGAATCAGAATACTCAGAAGCCTGTACCTCTTCTGTGTTGCTCTTCCTACTCTTAACTCCACCTCAGGAGCCCCAGTATCAGAATTGCCACCATTATTATCATTTAAGGTTCTTCAACAGAGAAATGTAGCTTATTTTACCAAGTCCATGGTTTTTTAAGCCATTTGAGCCTTTTCAAATTGCTGTCACATCAAACTGATATCTGGTGTCTTGAAGGTAGAAATTCCAAGTTATCAGTGCCCTGTCATAATTAAAAAGTCCATTTGGTCTACTGTCATGAAAATCCTTCATAATGTTAATGTATGTCCTAAATTTCCCACATTTCTGAGTTTTTGATTGTCTTCTGAGAATTACTATTAATAGCACTCTTTTTAGCTTTCAGGAGTACTTTGGTTTGAGTGATAAGTGATACCCTATGCAAAGACCACGGTGGATGGAATGCCTCGTATTTTAATTTTGTTCTCATTCTTTGTGATCCTAGGCTCCTAGATACATCATTCATGAGACTCAGCCAACACCCATTCCTTCATAATTTGGCACACATTGGCAATGCAATGGAAAGAACAACACACATGGCCCTGCCTCACAGAGTTCATGATTTACTAGTGGAAACAAATGAATTAAGTTAATTGCACACCAAAAATGTCAGAACTCCTCAGGAGAGCTACAAGATGCTTTAAAATCTCCCAAAATACAACTCATGGGAGGTGAGATGTGGTCCATAGGCCATAGAAATACACATGAATCGTTTTCTAACACCGTAAGTATGTCACTTCAATTGAACACAGCATTCAGAATGCCACTGCACTTGCCTTCCATTCATGTGCCATCTGTGGAGACATTTTAGCCCTTTGATACTCTGTGAAAAGGGATTCTAAGTAATATTTTTGGGTATTTAAAATACAAGGAATAGGAAATTAATTGTTGATTTCTGATGTAAGTGGCAACAAGATGATAGGGGCCCTGTGGAATGGGGGAGAAGAGAGATACGCAATATTTTATATTGGTAAGCTCCTTGAGGATAAGAAATTGTACAGTTTTAGGGTATTCTCTTCTGAATTCCTCTTTGAATAATTTCTAAGCACAAGGCAAGAATGTTCAGAGCATAGTGATTTGTGACAACAGAGAAAATGAAGCCTAAAACAAAGAAGGCATAAATTCAAACACAGAAAGGAGAGTTAGAAGGTGCTCTTAGGCCATGTTGGCTTCTCATAGCAACTGTCTTCTATCTGATGTCTATAATGTCAGTAGTCTAGGGGAGAATGAATGAGTGTGAAGGTTTTGAGGGGACTCCACAGACTACAGATATGAGAGCTTCTCCTCAGAGAAAGCTGGGGAAGACCAGAAAGCCAGGGCAGGAGAAAGAATGCTTGAAAACAGGGTTTCTAGTTATTGACAAAACACCAGGTGTGTAAATTCATTTCCAAGATCCTGCATGATTCATTGGTCTACTTTCCACTTAACTGTTGCCTGAAGAGCACATTTCCAATACAAACAGACTCTCCAAAGATGGAAAATTAAATACCCACTTAAGTTTACTGGGTCAAAGCGACGGGGGATAAAAAGATTGGATGATTGGTTCATGGTGCCTGCATAGACAAACTATAAATTGTGAGGCTACATCTTCATCTACAAGCTCTGTACTAATTCAGGTAAATGTCAACCCATAGTGGTCAAATATTTTATTTAGCCAAATTTTTATTAAATGAGCTGTAATTATACTTTAAATCTCAGTGAATTCTTCAAATATTAGAGTTGACAGTGGCAGAATTATAAATGCTTATTTTTATTTAGTGATATGTAATAGATGCCTATATTTCATATATGTAATTAATGCAAGTTGGTATACTATAGCTCTGACCTAGGAGTCAGAGAGATCTAGGTTTAAATTGTGGCAATGCCACTCCTTAGCTCTTTACCTTTGGCAAATCTTTGAGCTACAGTATCTTCATCTGTGTAATGGGAACATTGTAATGAAATGTGGATTCTGTTGAAACTTAAGGATTTAATAACACAATGTATAAAAAGAACCTAGCAGTACAAAGTAAGCACAAAGTAAGCCTCCATAAATAGTAGCTGCTTTGATAGTGGTTACAATCAAATATAAATATATTTGATATTTTAAATATTGTTATAAATATCACAATATTTATAAATAAATTCAGTAATAACTTACTGTCTATAAACCATGAATTTCTCATATTTAATACTGGTCTAGCTATATCTGCTCTGATAATTTATCATAAGTTGCTTTAGAGATCAAACAAGTTAGTATATATGAAACCATCATTAAAACTACTCATTTCTTTACAAATGCATTTCTGTTTTCTCTATTGGTCATATATGTTTATAGCTTCTTTTGTTACTTCTAACTACAAATGCTCCAAGTGCAGGAGACATGTGTTCTAGTTGCAGCACACACATTAGGGATTCCATTGAGAAGGCAGCATGACAGGGAAATGATACAAAGACTCAAGTTTTTTTCCCAAAGAAATTTCATTCTTCCCTTCCCAGCTATTTTTCCCTATATGCTTCTTCCATTTCCATTTCTTTTTTTTATTATTATTATTGTGCTGGGTAGGGGAACATTGTGGCATTTACAAAAAGTTCCTACAATGTATCAAATATTCATATTTGAATTCACCCCCTCCTGGCGCTCTCCTTTATCCTCCCCTCCCCTTAATTCATTTTGTTTCACATGTCACCCTTTCTCCTGTTTGTCTAGGCTTAGTTATAACAAAGTACCAAGGGTCACTGATTTGTGTCTTGTCATTTACTGTGACCTAGGGCAAATTTAGTTGCATATGTTCAATTGTTTGTTTGGTCTATTAAATGGGGACAATCAAGCTACCTCAGAGGACTGTGAAAAGAATTAAGTGAGCATTAAATGCCATGTTTGACAAGGATCTGTTAAATGCGGGAGGTTAAGGATTCCCTCCTGTGCACTTAGTTCAAAGCTCTCTCCTTGGACTTGACTGACCTGTGAATGATGCGCTGACTCTGCAGGTAGTCCAGGGCCATGGCCAGCTCACAGATGAAAAGCTTCACTGTGTCTTCCTGGAAACGAACATTCTGCTGTAGGTGATAACGCAGGTCCCCACCGAGTAGGAGGTCTACCACCATGAACATGTCTTCTTCATCTTGGAAGGAATACCTGGAAAACATTGAGAAGTAAAAGTCAGCTACACTTACATGTTAGCATCCCAGAGACAAAGGAGACCTTGGCAACCAGAACACAGAATTCTTGAGCTAAGAGCTTGGTCTGTGGGAGAAAGTGGTCTCTCACAAGCTCTCAGACCTTGGGTTCTCAGTTCCTCATATGTAAAATGGAATAATAATAATTATAATATCTACCATATTTGATCACAGTGAAGAATAAATTGATATGTGTATTTATGATTGGGTTTGACACATAGTAAGCACTCTCTGTGGGCTTACATTACAATAAAGCCCAGGAAATAAGGAACACCCCACTTATCCATTTATTGTTCATGTCCTTACCCCACTGTTGCAAGAAGTCCATAAAATAGCAGTTAGGAGGCTCTCTTGAACCACTTGTATTCCAATTTTTTTTGTAACTTCACTGTCCGCCAATATTGTAACAAATCAAGTCAAACATTAATAATAAAAAAGATATTAAGAGACAATAAAGAAGTGAAGGTTACAAAGAAATAATTCATTCAGACTTTGGGATAGGGAGGTAAGAAAGTATCTCACCAATATTGAGTCCTGAGCTAAAATCTGAAGGATTGTGATAATAGTAACTGAAAATTAAAGGTCAAATTTCCTGCTATTTCTGTGGGGTGACTTCAGTAGAGCAGGTTCTGAAGCATTTTCCAGGTGGCCCCACAGTCTACTGTCATACTCCCATTGTCACAGGAGGATATTAAGGCACAGTGAAGTTTAAATGACTTGTAGAGGCCAAAGAACAGAATACAGACAAAGGTTCTCCAGATGTGAAAGTGAAATTTGAAAGACAAAAGTAGTGTGTGTAGAAGCACAGACATGGAGCACAATTGCAGTGGGAGGGGAAAGTCTGGATTTGCTGGAACAATAGGTACGATGGGGAGACTAGTGTCTGGAGAAGACAGAGGCCAGTTCCATGACAGGAGTTTACTTATAACATTGGGGAGTCACTGATGGGTTTTAAGCAGGCTGTATGATCAGACATGGGCTTTCCACTGAAGGAGTGTGGGGCTGAGGGATCAGAAGAGGAAATGAAATAGAGCAGAGTTGCCCTCTGCTATGTGCGGTCTCCAGGAAATATGCATTCCTACTGTGCTGATTTGTTTTGTTTTACCCAATGCACAGGCATGATTTCTAGTCATAATAAAACTCTCTGAATCAACACTGTTTGACATGGGTTTCCTATATAATGTCACTGGGATCGCATTTGGAAGTTTTATTTGAATTAAAGAATGAAGTGCCTGCAAGCAGTACCAAGGATTCACAACAATTCCCCGTGATAAATTCCTTGCTTAGGAAGTAACTGTGACAATCTTGCTTAGTACATTTTCTTCTTTATAATTATCACTGTACTACAGGAGAAGGAGGGAGTTACAAACAAAGAAGTAGAAATTCAGTGAAGCATTACTCTGAGGGAGCCTACATTTCAATGAAGACTAACAGTCCCTCATGTTCAGTGGTTCCATAAACAAAATTTTGATTACTACTGAAGACTGATTCACACAGATGTCAGAAATTAAGCACTTGGAGAATTCAGAGAGAAATACAGGAAGTGCTTTGTAAAATCTGAGACATATATGCTGGGTAATGTCTTTTAGGAAATTATATTCTTGATGTAATGACTAGCTAGCCATCTCTACTATACATTTATTTCTTCCTTTTTAATTTTATTTTTTGGCAGTACGGAGGGGGCTGAACTCAGGGCCTTGCACTTGCTAGAGTGGTGCTCTACCACTGAGCCATGCTAATAGCCCCCCTGCTAAGGGTTAGTGGGTACCAGGAAAGTGGCTGAGTCGAGGCAGTTTGGTTCCTCATCCTTCCAACTTCACCAATACAAATTATATTCATCAGTTGTTCATGGGATGTAAGCAAGGCTTTTTTGGGCTAAGTTACAGATGGAGTAGGGATGGCGAGGATGAGGACTGGGTACCAAAAGAAGGAGAAAGAGAGTGATAAGCATAATCATAACTAGATGACAATGAAGACAACCCACTTAGACTAAGTTCGCATATGGAGCAGGTTCTATTTACTCTGCTGTTGACCAATGTAAGCTCTCCTATTACTGCACTAAACTCTAAGGGGGCAAAGAGGGTAGTGGTTGTACTAAATTCAGCCTGAATGAGCAAGCATTTTTGTTGACATTTGGGATAAGCTATTTTTATTCGAAGAACAAACTGATAAAGGTGCCAGCTATGGTAAGTTAACAACAGTGTTCAAACATGCAGAGAATTATTAATCAAAGAAAGAAGAGGGCAAGGCAAGAAGCAACGTGATTGCCTCGGCCACTATAAATATAGATTTATTTAACTGTGAAGACAAGTTTGGCTGTTAAAAGTCATCTGAATTCTTCTACCCCAGATTCTTCATTTTCTGAGGGAAAGAAGATAAGTATTTTATGCTCCAGCATTATACTCAATAAAAAGTAAGCAGACATAACAATTTGGTAATAGCTAGAACATCTGATTTTTAAGATAAAAATGAAAGAGCTTCTTGTACCTCAACAATTTATCACACAGGCTGTTATATTTCTATAACTTTTTTTTAGTATGTCATATCATGGCTTATTTATTTCTTAGTTGACAGCTCTAAAATTAACAAATCTGGTCTCAGCACATATGAAAATCTTTGCAAAGTGTGCTTAGTAAGAAAGGAGATAGCTACCAAAAGCCACCATATTCCATTCTCCATCACCTCTTATCCAGACCATTGCACTATGTTCATTGTTCCCTCTATAATCTTGAACCTCTCTACTCCATTCTCCACACTGGAGTTGTTTCTTTAAGTGTGAGTTTTACAATATTATCCAACCTCTAAAAACTGTTCATCTCCTTTCCATGTGTATAGGAACTTATCTGCTCTGGCCCTGTTTATCTTTTCAGTCTTATCTTGAGGATTTCCAGTAGTCCATGGCACTTCTAGCCTTAGAAGCTGGCAAAGCAGAGTGCTCTGTGCCTGGTTATGTGTGGTTCATCTTTCAAGTCTCACCTCCATTAAAGAATTTCTAACACTCCATATCAACTTAAGTCTCCCTATTATATGCAATGTTATAATCTTATTCACAGAATTTATCATAATTTGAAAATATCTTCCTGTATGCTTTCAGATTAACTCTACTTATTCCCAAACTGCCATCAGGATGCATACCTGTTTTTTCTTTTTCTTTTTTTTTTTTTTAAGTCTTTCTTTCATTTATTTTTTTTTTACAAGGCTTGGTTTATTTCTCCCCCCTGCCCCCACCCCCTCCCTTACCACCCACTCCACCCCCTCCCGCTCCCCCCCTCAATACCCAGCAGAAACTATTTTGCCCTTATCTCTAATTTTGTTGTAGAGAGAGTATAAGCAATAATAGGAAGGAACAAGGGGTTTTGCTGGTTGAGATAAGGATAGCTATACAGGGCATTGACTCACATTGATTTCCTGTGTGTGGGTGTTACCTTCTAGGTTAATTCTTACTGATGGCTCAGTACCAACACACCACCCAAGACGTAGATTCTACAAATAGTCATAGAAAACCTAATAAATTAATAAATGAACTAAAGAAAGGAAGAAGAGAATCAAGTTTAAAACACAAACTTGGGGTGGGTCTTATATAAATTCTCTATATTTTACTTTTACAAATTAGCATGGTTACCATATAAGTTCAAATGGTAACTCATATGCTTGAAGCTGTCCCATATTTATATTACAACAAATATGGGGATACAGGGATCTAAAACTATCTCTAATGCAGGGTATCTCAAATTGTAGTAATAGCCCATTAATGGGTTGTGAAAGAAGTTTGGTTGAGTTTATTTTAAAGAAATAAAATATATTGAATAACATATGATAAGCACCATTAACACATAAGACTAAAAATTGTGAATTTTTTGTTTTTGTGTCTCTGAGAGCCTATCTACTGGGTTGGGGTGGAAAATATATTCTTTTCTATGGCTGACAGTCAAAAAAGCTTGAAGACCATGGCACTTCACACTGCAGAACTATTGCTCCAAATTCTCACTTGATCAAGAGTCACTTGTGATATGCCCATCCAGCAAAGCAAAGGAAAATTCAAGATTAGCTCTACAAGTTCCTAGCTTTTGTAGAAAAAGACTGATTGAGTCATCAAGGATGGAGTCAATTTAAAATACGCTCAAGCATAATACAAGTGGAAAATGCATAGGCTTCAGACAGACCCAAGTTGAAATTACAGCAATATCACTTATGTGAACTTAGAGAAAATCTCTTTAAAAAATGAAACCCAAAGATGGTATATGTTTAAGTGAGTTGAAACACATAGAGCTTAAAATAGTGCCTGGAAGACAGCAAGTAGTGAATGTTAGCTACTGTATAATTGCCTTCTTCATCTTCTCATGAATATAACATATGATAACAAGCAATCATTCAATTCATGTGATTGTCCCTTACTGCTTTATATGAGATAATCATATAAAGATACTAATTGTCAATGGTGTAACCAACATGGTCCCATTTTACAAGCGCTTACTATGTGTAAGACATGCTAGGTACTTTATGTGTATTATTTCAAACATAAACCTGTAAGGCAAGTAGTAGTATTATTGCCATTTTTGCTAATCTTAAGAATCCTCAAACAATCCATCAACGTGTCAAAAAAGATTACATACCATGACTAGGAGGGATTAATATGTAAAAACCAAATGTTATATATCTTTTTAATATAAGAATGAAGCATACAATCATATGGATAGAGACAATAAAAGCATTTGACAAAGCCTAATACTCATGATAAAAACTCTTAACAAATTTGGAATAGAAGAGAACTTCCTCAACTAATAAAGGACATCTACAATAAATCCCACAGGAAACATCATACTTAAAGGAGAAAGACAGGTTCCCTCTAGGTTAGGAATAGGCAAAAACATCTGCACTCATTTCTTATTAGTCCTTGAGGTTGTGTCCAGTGCAAGAAAAATAAATAAAGAACATTCATATTGGAAAGGAAAAAGTAAA